GAGAAAACACGGGTAACAATGTAAAGCGCTACTTTATTAAGGCAAACATGCAACTACATTCAGTAACAGCCTACAGTCATAATCCCTGCTACTGACAGGGCGTAGGACGGGACAGCGCTCGGAAGGCAGCCAGGGCAGAATTTCTACCGACTAAAGTTGATGAGTTTAGTTATGGCATCACTGCTGGAACAAGGCCGCCCTGGCTGCGTTGTAATCCACGCTTTCGTCTCACTCCCTTCGTTTGCAGAAATCATGACTGTACTTATCTACTCTCATGAGCTTTTTCCAGATCATTCGAAAACAGTCAGCTCAACCAACTCGGTGAAAGAATCGACGTGAACCACTTACCCTTGGAATTAATCAAAGGAGAGAGCGCGTAAGGTGACGCTATAAAAGCAGAAATGTATGGCGGGGAGCAAATAATAGGAGACAGAATAAATGGCGAAAAAATCAGTGGGACCATGGTGTGAGGTGTATAAATAAAAGGTGTTAATGCGAAGGGCGAGAAAACGAATGGCGCTAAAGCAGCAGGATTCAGAATGAAAGGTGACAAAAGTTGAGGAGAAAGTACAAAGGGTAAAAGTACACCGGGGCTCAAAATGAGAGGATCGAATGCAAGAGGACTCAGAACTATTGGCGCCAAAGCAACAGGTGACAGAACAACGGGAAACAGAAGTCGCGGTGCCAGGATGACCGGAACAAGACACCATGGTGACAAAAGTAATATGCCAAGAATAGCTGGTGAAAGGATGACCGGCGTGAGCAAAATGGGCGAAAGTATTATTGGTCCAGATGCAGCTGCTGGGTTCAAAATAATAGAGCCAAGCAAAGTTGGTGCTAAAATTTGTTGTCGTCGTCGTTGTGTTTTGAACTGAATAGTTTCCGAGGCCAAATCACGGATCGTTCTCTCGATGATAGATGGGACCTCCTCAGGTCGAACTTTCGTCAACCGCTTCAATGTCTCTGTGTCATTGTATGGTGAATCTAGGCCATACACCATGTTAAGCTGTTGCTCATTCATCACCGCATAACCAGTTGCATTCATTGCCATTGCCTGAAACGCATAACTTTCGTGCCTTCGTTCCCCGTAAAAAGTTATTCATTTCAAAAGTGTCAAGCATAATTTTGCAAGCTACAGCACTGACAATGGAGATAGCAGAGGCGCAGGCTTGCACCAAACTTGTACCAGCGGTATGATTGTAAATGAAGAAGGCGCTAGTAATCCTTCAGATCCTTTAATGCACCTCTTGCTCTATTTACTCTTTTCCTACTCACTTTTCTGAATTTGAGAGGAAGACGAGATTTCTCCTTAGATTCGAATTTTGGCAGAAGCATCGTTTCTCTGGTGCCCATTTAATGCGAGTATCTGAGCGCTCTTTCTCGGCAGCACCTTGTACCTGCGCGGCGGTGGCTTTCAAGCAAAACAAACAGCTTCAAGGATGGCGCTGAAGCAGGAATGTTACCATGACCTCGAACTAACCCCTCTTAGAACATTCGCCTTTCTGGAAGAATTGTGGTGTCCCCAAACTTGTTCTTCTTCTCTAAAGACATCTTCAAAGTTTTTACTTTCAAAGTTTTGATTAGGAAAGGGCATCCCTCTATTTACGTCGGTATTTATGCATTATTTTCCGGTTGGGTCGAGGCAGATTCGCGACGAGCTTCCTCCAACTTCACAGGAGTTCACAGGTTTCACTGAGTGAGACTTGTAAATTGGATTTAGCGAGGCAACGAATGTGCAAAATGCCCTGACGCCCGTCGCCGGACTGCGTCTAAAAGTCTGAGGTGGTCAGCGGCTCCGCGCTGAAGGCAGGAATAGCCGAATTGTCAAAAGTGTGGGCTTATGTCTGCACTCTGAGCCACGATTGCGATCCCTGCGGAGGCACAAACCACCGCTTGGAAAAAAGAAATGAGAAATAGTGACGACAGTGTCATGCCCAGCTCACACCTCTTCTAACATAAAGGAGAACACAAAGGAGCAGTGCTGGCCAACAGCGATTAGCCGGAGAGTTGCTCAAGAAAATGGCGTCTCCCTAGTGAGCAGATTTTCATGATCGAATTAGGGAAAAGTACGCCACACCGAGGCGTAGAATTTCATCGAATTAGAGGATGAGTACAGGCACACGGAGGGGTTATTTGCAATAGTCGTATACGTACCGCAATCCGCTTCAGGGCACAGCACCGAACCCATCAAGGGGATCGTACATGGCCGCTAAGGAGGGAGGGGGTCGTCGGTGAGCACAAAACACCGCAAACGTGTCATCGCTAATTTCTGTGGAGCGGAAGCAGTGTTGTAGAGACTGTATAATAATACAGTATAATAGTGATGTGACTGTACAGTAGTGACTATATAATACATCTCAAAGAGGTTCATGCCTATTCAAGCCTAAGCAAACATGTGTTTGCATTGACAAAAATTACCATTAGAATTTACAGCTTTCCACCATCTCTGGGTGGAAGCGTAGAGCACGGCGCCCCTCAGATTTAATCGAATGATGAAAACCTGACTGTGCTTCCACTCTGTTTACCGGAAAAATGCGTTTTAAAGGCATATTAGAATTCATGTGTGAGTATTCGTACATAGAAGGAATCGAGCTTTCGGATGGCTCAGAATTCTGCCTATCAGGAACCCATCTGGAATATCTCCAAACAGATGAGTCTCCAGTGGAACTATAACGCTTCCCGGAGAGAGAAAACACTGCGCTTTCTGAGTCGTCCTTGGTTTTGCAAAAGGTTTCGGATGGAAAGAGCATATTGACGTCTGACGCGAAAAAACTCGCGTGCGATTGGCCATCAACCCATCTAAAACCCATTCAAAATGTTTCTCAAAAGGGAGAGACACTCAGATTACTGATGGTCTCGCATCAGTGGAGGAATCGCTTCAACAGGCCGCCTTCCGTTCCGGCCGCTTCGCGAAAGCCCCGCTCCCTGAAAAATTCATCGCCCTGAAAAAGCCATGCGATCTCCACCATGTCAGTGTGCTCCAGCGTCATTTTGCTAGGATCTGAACGCGGCCGCGACGCTTGCGGATCGTTGCGTAACTAAATCTTCTAGTTAGAGCAGACAGCTAGAGCTGGAAGGGTTCCGGGGTCGCACCAAGACCCTTCCTCAGGGAACGATCGTACTCACACCGCCATTTCACAGATCACGATTGTGTACCCTGATCCGGTTGCTCCGAGCTGGATAAGCATGAGTTTTATCTAACCCTGGAGGGGGCTGTAAGTTCAGTTCCGGAGGGTGATTCTCT